CTGGGCCGTCGCGGGGACTCCAAGGGCAAAATGCTCGAGCCCCTCTGTTTCTCCCACGGGGCCCGTTATTCAACTTTAAATTTGAAGTTTTTCGGTAATAGGCGATTAAGCAACAACAGCAACAAACAACACTCGGCCAAGTTACAGGGCATCTTGACATAGGAATGGGTAGGCACTTAAGTGTTTCCTAGGAGTGAGTGAGCCTGGGGTGGGGGGCTGGAATTTAAAAGAAAGCTAGAGGCTGGAAACTTGGAAACTGAGTGTTATTTAAACCTTAACACGCAAAGATATATGTATTTACCTATGTGAATATGTGCGTACACGTTTTCATTTCATATAAGCATATGTAAACGTTATATTTGTATAAATGTACACCTATTTATATTCGTATAAATTGGTATGCAATATATAAATATATGCCCATGTGCTTATATATATTTCTACTATGTAAACATAACGCAAATGAAGGCGCGCATTTCTTTAAATATATGTCTAAATGTGTGAAATGGATGTCACCTTGCTATATATGACATGTGCAACTTGGGCTGTGTGTGTGGCGGCTTGAAGAGCGGATGAGAGGTATTTATTTCTTTTTATGGTAGCAATCACTTCGTGCTGCGATATTTATCTCGCCCAGAGCAGGGACCAGCGATTAGCAGCTCAGAGGACGGAAGAATATTGCGCAGCGTGAACCAGGCATACAAGACAATTCTAAGACCTTAGAACCTTCTGCCCCACCCCTTCCGACTCGCCCCCAACAGCGGGTCTGTGACATGTGGTCAAGTCACTTGTCCTCTTCAGCTTAAATATTCCCAAAAGCTGCTGCCATGTGAGTCTAGGGCCAAAGGCTTTAAGTGTCTGCCAGGATTCCAGGAGCCCCCATGGGTAGCACTACGGCTTGCCCAAATGACCCCCCAAGCCAAGGGACAGAAAATTCTGGAAAAGGCCTGATCCCCCAAATCAGGTTCGCTTGCAAGGTAGTCTTCCTGTCCTTCCAGCAGAAAGACGAGAGAGAAGTCAGCTGCGGGATCTGAGAATAATCTATTATCCATGTGTGTGTTATTATTATTATTATTATTGAAACTAAAATAATTCTAGGTTCCACTCACATAAATCGAATTAGCAACCCACAGAGGGGAATTAGGCACTCGTTTCTGAAGGTATAAAGGTCAAGTAAGATATTTTGGAGGAAGTCAGTTTACTAGGAAAAAAAGAAAAAAGAAAGAGGTGCAAAATATTCAGGAACATGCTAGGTGAAAATAAAGAACTAAAGAAGTTGACTGTCAGCCTGAATCATTTGAGACTAAACAAGTAGGCAATAAATTATATTGAACTCATAGACACTTAAGTCAAAAAGTGTTTATTGTGCTTCTGAAACTGTTTCCTTCCCTATCAAGCTTAATTGAGAAGTTAACAATTGTTCCTGTCATCAGTGAGATTTAAAAAACAAAACCTATATGAGACTTAAATCAGTACGTAGTTTTTAAAGTGTAAAGGAAAGCTGATAGCTGTTGGACGCCCCCCCCCCCCCAAAAAAAAAAAAAGAAATCTCTGGTGATGACATCGGGATGTCTTGCAGCTTTGGGCCCTTTATAGCATCAGAAATGGGAACCTTGTCTGTTTACAGAATAATCCTCCATAGTCAAGAATCTGAGGGAAAATGGGCACTTCTGAACTCTTCGGTGTTGCCCATCACAGGATCTCTTTTATGAGGAAGGCTGCTGCTGAATGCCTTTCTCTAGCACAGCTTCCTAAATTTTTGCCCTGTTTCTCCAGTCAGGCTCTGTTTGTTTTTTAGAGATGGCTGCCCTCTTGTGGTGGAAATGAGTCAGAACGCTTGGGTGAAAGAAGTCAATGAATGAATGAATGAATGAATGAATGATCTCCAAAGACTGACTTGCAGTGCAAAGTACAGGGTGACCATGTCTACCAGTTTTCCAATTCCAGTTTGCTATTTTGAGCCATAGCAATACTTAAAGACAGCAAATCTGAATGGAGATGTTCTGTTTTATTATCCAAGCAAAATGAAATCCTTGACAACTTCAATCTTTTCTCTCTTTATCATGACGAGTCAAGTTGTGAAGATTTTTTTCTTCATATTGAGGTGTAATCCATACTGAAGGCTGTAGTCTT